CAAGAAGGGACTTGTATCGCTGAAGTTCCTCGGAAATAATTTATACCGGAATCTAACAAACAAGCAGAGACTTAACAGTATGACTACAACCAATATATTCCTCCTTTGTTGACCATTGCGACATCACCTTTTCTGTTGAGCTGCAGCTGGACGGAGTTTTTATGTACAAAAGTGTGTTTTGACAAAAACCTTTCTGCAGGGTGGGACTTTCGTAATCTCTTACTTCACTGTGTTATTTGGTGATAACAAAAACTGATAAGATCAGCAAAAACGTCACTTTTCTCCTCACTTTGCCCCATTTGTGTCTGTTCAGCTAGCTGGAAAAGGCACGTCATAGTGGTACCATCAAATGACGTCATCACCACGAAATGCTAACGCATCATCTTACGGGGAAGAAAGATGTGACCTTAAAATGTCCTCTTACAATAAAAATGTTTTATATATTGTGAATATTTTACCACTAATCGTGTATTTTGCAATTTTGAATAATTTCTTTTTTTATATTTTTTAAGTCTATAAAGTTTTGTTATCAAACGTAAAATAAAAAATAACTTTAAAGATTCGATAACTGAATTCATTTTCAAAAACCCATTTCCATGGTTCGGTGAAATACTGTGTTTATGCCATTAATTTAAGCTTTAACATGCACCGCTTAATCAATTTAATTTATAGATTAGCTTAGTCGCTATACTGTGCCCACCACAGGAATTGAGCCTCGAATCAGTCACCAGGGATGTTTGTTTTAGGGTAAAGTCACATTGGGCCACCTATTGTGTTCACCGCCGGGAATCGAGCCCCAGATTTTAGTGTTGTAAATCTGTAGAGTTACCGCTACCCCACCTGGGAAACACATGGGGTTTTGGGCTGTTTTGTTTGTAGTTAAGCACAAAACTACGCGATGGGCTATCTGTGCTCTGCCCACCATGGGTATCGAAATCTGGTTTCTAGCGTTGTAAGTCCGCAGACATACCGCTGTGTCACTGGGGGGCACCAGGGATATATAGATTGGTAATTACAAATGTAACTTTTAAATAGACAAACGAAGTTTGTTATTAACATGATATTTCATGGTATTATTATTTTTTCTGTGAAGTAAGAATTCTGAACAGCACAATTTATTACCATATATAAACATACATAATACATGTGTAACAACCACATTAGAGAGGTCACAGTGTAAAGGTCACGACAAATAAATTGCTATGAATAACTCAATAATCAGTGGAGTAAGTATGCAACTAAAAAGGGGCCAAAATCAGCCAGAATCGTAACTACAATTTTATGGAAATAAATGTAAGGGACCATTTACTTTTTATGCGGGGAGGGGGATCCCTTGTAGCTACGACACTGTCAGTAACTATTGTTTTGAAGTGCAAAACCACACAACAGGGTCGCCCAGTGGCACAGAGGTATATCTGCGGACTTGCAATGCTCGAAACCAGGTTTCGATACTCGTGGTGGGCAGAGCACAGATAGCCCTTTTTTGTAGGTTTGTGCTTAACTTCAAACAAACAAACTACACAATGGTCTATCTGCACTCTGTATACCGCAGGGACTCGATCCCCGAATTTTAGCATTGTAATTCCATAAACTTACCCGGGAACAAACCCAGTAACAAGTTATATGAGAAGTAAAAAAAACTTCGTGTCAAATATATTTACAGAAAACCTACTAGATTACTGAAAAGTCAATGTGTTTATATATTTAATATAAAATGTTTCCAATAATTAAGAAAAATATTAATTTTATTGGATCTGTATATAATTATCGTTTAATTCGTATAAATAGGAGATACAGTCAAGAACTTTTTCCAGTTATTTAAAATCACAAAAGAAAACAACTGACTTTTTTTTTCCTTAATGAACTGAATTCGATTTTAGGGTTCGACTACACCAAAAAATCCAGCTGCCGGTTGGCTTCCAACTACGTTAGTGCCACTGGTATGAACCACCGTAAAATATTTATGTAAACTAATAATTTGACATAAAATTAACGTGGCTTAATTTTGATAAAAGTTGAAAAATTTAAATGTAGAAGTTCAAAAGATCTGTCTCAGTTATTTTAGAGCTCACATTCAAATGTATGAAATAAATATTTAGTGAGTCTGAGTAATTAGTAACTAGAACATATATATTTGTGAACGTGTCGTTTTAAATTAATTAAATTGTTAATTTACCACCAGATGACGACACTTATGTAATACTTTTGAAGTTATTGATTTGTTTGGTAAGCGCATAGTTACACAATGGGCTGTCTGTGCTTTTCCCACCGTGGGTATCTAAACCCGGTTTTTAACGTTATAAGCCTTCAGGCTTACCCCTGAGCTACTGGGGGCTAGAGTAATTGATTCTTGCTTGTTGTGATTAGTTGAAATTCCATGTTTTATGTTTGGCAAATATGAAATTACAAAATGTGAGAATTAATATTAGAATTAGTTCCTTAAATTCCTTCCCGAGGCATTACAAGACTTTTAATTTTGAAAAGATTTATTTGGAATACATTCGCAAAACTCAAAATATATTTGTAATTTCGAGAACTAAGATTATAATTTACGATACTTTCAGGTTCCAGTGGTTTTTTATGTCAATTCCTTTGTTTCGATAAACGATAATTAAAGCTACGATCGTGGTAATCCTGGGACCTGTTTCTAAAATATTCTGTTGATGTTCATCCTAATAGGTTGATCTCAAATTTAACATTACGAAGATTAAAAATATGTATATCAACCATTTCCAAAAATATAATATTCATCCTTAAATACGAGCAAGAAATAGGATTATTGAAAATAGTTTTATAATTTTCTCACCATGTGACGCCACCTTCATATTTACATATCGAAAGTTTATTATGATGAGTGTTTTTTTAAAGTGAAATTTGTACCGGATGAAACTATGTATTGCTCTCTCACAACCTTAATACAGTGGTATCGAAATTTATAAAATAATTTTAAACTATCTAACTTTTACGTTTTGAAATTGGTTCACCTTAAATAGTTTGCATTTGGTTAAAACGGAGAGAATGCTTATTTCCATGAGTGTTATTTTGATGTTGTTTTTTGTTTTTCATTTTTGTTAATAGATAAAGTTAGATGATATATTACAGGAGCAAGTAACAAACTTATATATAATATTCTAGTCCGGTTTCAAATATGGTCTGGAATTATTATTTATTTGACACGTAATGTTCTAGTGTTCGAACGTTTCTGGTTCGTGAGCTCGGACAGCGCGAGTAATGACGTAATAGGATGTCTGCTAATTTTGTGTCGTGGAGAGTCCTTCAAGTTGTACGTATTCGGTTATTTTGGCGTTATTGGACGTAGTGACTAATCTCCTGTCAGTTGCTTCCTGACCTTTAGGTTTATTCTAAGAGACCGGAACAAGATTATCATCCTATTAATTTGGGCTTAAAAATAAATAAAGAACAACCTTCAAGCGTAATGTGTGGTTGAATTTACTTATTTAGAAATTAAAAAAAAGGGTCGTTCTCAACCTCAAGGGAAAAAAAGAAAATATATTTAATTCCACGAACTTCTTTTCTATCATCGAGTGTTATACATTTCAGAAAGGGCGCCCTCTGTAAATAGACTTCATCGTTTGTTCGTGCAGCTGAAGTCAATGCTGAACCTGACCCTCCCTGGTTCAGAACCCATTGAAGAAGAAGACTGCAGCTTAAACTAGTAATACCTCTTTATTTTTGTATTTCAAAACCAGTTTCGTTCTCTACATACGTGTATTTTCGGGGTTTTGGTGTTCTTTTTTTTTCAAGAAAATTTTATATATTTTTATTTCTTATTTTTCAAGTCTTTTTCCTTATATATGTCCCCCTTCGCCCAGTGGCACAGCGGTATATCTGCGGACTTATACCACTAGAAACCGGGTTTCGATACCCGTGGTGGGCAGAGCACAGATGGCCCTTTGTGTGGCTTTGTGATTAATAGCGAAACAACATCTATGCTTATAAAGTTTTAAGTTTTAGTGTGGTTAAATCGAACAAAGTACCTACAATATTGTAAGACTTTACTTAGTTTCAATTTGCAAACTGTATGTTTAAAACGTTTACACTATCGTTCAAAACTAAACATTAATGTTCCTATCTTAAAATGATTAGTGTTGTCGTAGCCATAATGGTATGGATAAAGTTTTGATTTTTTTATAGTTTTTAGCTACGGAAAACACATCCGCATCCAGTGCCATATTGTGTGTTTTTTATAGTTTTTAGCTACGGAAAACACATTCGTGTCCAGTGTCATATTGTGTGTTTTTTTATAGCTTTTAGCTACGGAAAACACATCCGCATCCAGTGCCATATTGTGTGTTTTTTATAGTTTTTAGCTACGAAAAACACATCCGCGTCCAGTGCCATATTGTGTGTTTTTATAGTTTTTAGTTACGGAAAACACATCCGCATCCAGTGCCATATTTTGTGTTTTTTATAGTTTTTAGCTACGGTAAACACATCCGCATCCAGTGCCATATTGTGTGTTTTTTTAATAAATTGAATTATATTTCAATTTTTTAACAGACGACAGCGAGCTCGTCAGCTAGGCCGTTCTCAACCTAACCTGCACCTTATAGACAACGATAAAGATTCAACAAATGAAAATAATGAAATGGATTTAGGCGATCGATCGAACAGCAACCCAAATGTGGCTGATAATGGAGTTTTCACAGAGAAAAAGGTAATGCTTTTTATTCTATGGTACAATAGATTTCACTCTAGTGAGTTATTAATAAGATCAAAATATTTCCAGCATTAATGAGCAAGACACTTTACCTCAATTGTTTCAGTCTATCCAGCTGTTTTTTCATGGGTGTGAGTGGGTCATCCTGCGGTAGATTAGTGGGGGGGGGGACCATTCTTGTCCACTTGTGCCATTGAAACTGGAGTACAGCAGTGGTTCCTATGTACCGTTTCGACTTCTGGAATATAGTGTTAAACTATTGTTTTAAAAAGTATGGATTGTTGGTACTTGCCAATCAAGACGAATATCGTGTTTAAAATAAACATTGCTGTATATTCAAACATCACCATGGAATATGAGTTTCAGTGTGGTGGCGGAAGGGTTGGACATAGAAATAGGGTTTATAAAATGTGTCTTGGTTGTTTCTGACTCGCCAATATGTCCTGTTTCAGAATATGATAACATTATATATATGTATACTAGACGGAAATTATGTAAATTCATGATTAATGAAAGGTTATGAAAAGTTGCTTCCCTTATATGTAATTGTAAAAAACGCGAAAACGGCCATAAGAACTACAAAACTTAAAACCGCACCTTTGCATGTATCTCT